TCGTCAGAGAAGGGCTCAGCCTTGGGTGGGCAAAAGCCAGGGTCGAGCTGTTGAGGGGGCCCCCCCTCAGGTGCTTCAGGTGCCTGGGGCGGGGACATGTGCAGCAGAGGTGCCCGCCAACGATGGCGGATCAGCGCCTCTGCTGCTTCAACTGTGGGCAACCCGGACACTTGTGGGTGCCGGGCTGGGGCGAGTTGCCCATTATGTAAAGAGAGGGGGCTGGCGTCGGGGCATCGATCCAGATCCGACGCCTGCCGGCCCGTGGCGGCGGCGCGTCCTGCGCTGAATCTAGGGAGGGCAGAGGAGGAAGAACGAGCGATCCGCTCCCACTGTCCCCATCGAGGAGGTGGGGGGTGCGGCCGCGAGTGACTCCTCGCCCGACGGTCCGGACCCCAAAGAGGGGACGGATGGAGGGGGTAACGGGGACATCCGGGGGTGCGCATGGTGTATTCTCGGCGCGCTTCCCAGGGTGATCTTGGAGCCCCTCCCATCCACGTCTCTACGCCGATCAATATGGAAATTGATCCAACAATAGTACCAGGACCATCAACTGAGTCTGGATCGCAAGCAAGACACACAAGAGAAGGCAACGTGGCTAAACAAATGGCTAAATGCAGCATAAATACGCCGGCAACAATTAAACTAGTAGAAGTAGCATCTTCGTCCCCTATGGAAATAGACATTTCTCAAATAGATGATACTTTACCGATGGAATGGCCTGTCGACGGAGAGGCATGGACACAGGAAGTAGAACAATTAAAGAAGGCAGAACCAACGAAGGAAAATGCCTAATAAACTCCTTCAAATTAACATCAATCATGCGAAGGACGGTCATGACCTTGTAACTACCTAACTTTTTAAGCGCGGACGTAGCTCGTCGGGGCCTCTCGGCGCGGGGCTTTAAAAGAGGTTCGAGCAGGAGAGGCAAGATGCAGTTACGCGGGCGATTGATTATAATGAGCACAGGCGCGGTAAAAGTTAACAACAATCTTTATTGTGACATAAACAAAATGCAATATTTACACATGACAGAATAAGTAATTATATACATAGAATAGATAACGCGCGGACGATAATTCGATTGAGAATGCGGTCGCGGATTCGTATGTACAATGTAACGCGTGCGTAGCACGCGACGGGTCGCTCTGGATTCGTCGGTCGTGGCACGCGGAAGCGCGCCAGCCAATCCGGTTAGCGCGGCGCGAACGTGGTACGCGGCGCGGCGATTTGCGAAGCGTTGCTTTCCCCGATGCAATGGGGAAGCGCGGAGTATATGAGGGCCGTCGACCCCAAGAACGCTTGGGAGGGTGGAGAACACTCCACCCTTAGCTCGTGTCGAGGCCCGCGGTTTTATGTGTTGATCGGTACGGACGGTGCGTGGAATCGAGAGCGGCACGTGATGTCGTTGTCGGGAACGCCCGACGGTGACCGAGAATGATCCCTCGACCACCTTTCCTCACGATCACGTTGTGTCCGGAGTGGAATCGG